AAACAGAGTCATGAAAGCTGAGGTAAGAAAAATGTGGATGGAATGAATTAATGTGAATGCCTGTCATTTGATATTAAAATAGTGTGAAAAATGGCAGTTCATTTTACTATCAAATGGACATAGGACTGATGGATGTAAAAACTGACCGCTGAACCAAGTGTATTTTTCAGACTTGAGAGGGTCACAGGAAACCTCTTAGGACAGACAAATCCTTACCAAAAGAAACATTTATGCAAGCTGAAAATAGGATGCTGTTATGTGGATTTGCTCTTAAATCCGCCCACTGGCTACAAGACTCCACCTACACTACCTGCTGAAAAACGTGCTCTCAGTTCCTCTGTGGTAGATGTCAACAACCTCTGAGTGACATGCTGGACTCCTATATCCCCATACCCTCTCTGTGAGTCTGAGAGATGTGATAATGGGAGTGCTGCCAAAATCAAAGCTACTTTTTGCCATTCTCATTTCCATGTGGCTGAGCACTGACATTGCAGCCCTGCTCCACAGACCCTCTCATGTTCATCCAGCCTGGGCACAGGAACAGCACCTGCTGCAATGGCTCAGCTGGCACCCAGGCATTTGTAGATGTGAAATTAGTGGATGCCTTTCAAAATGAGGCCTTAATCTACAGTGTGTGAAGGCAAGAGATGTGTGAACATGTGCAGTGCATAAACTGAAGCAGCACTCCTTCCCATGCTGCTTAGAAAGGAGTCTCCAGAAAGGAGTGGAAAATGGCTTCTTCCTTAAACACCATCACCAGAATTTTTTTTTCCCTCTCATGCATCCACGTTCCTGCTGTCTCTGCTCACCTCCTCTTTCCTAGCATGACTACAATAGATCGCACCTAGTCATTACCCAGCCCAAGAGCTGTGGGCTATACAATCCCAGATTATATTTGCTGTTGTGCATTTAATGGAAAAGGTATAGCTAAATTAGACTTTGTTTTGAAGCTATTAAGAGGAAGGGAAGAAAGCAAAATAAAAACCCTAGTCTGCTTAATCATAGGCCTGGGTAATTTGTTTTGGTGAGAGAATGACAGTAATGGTCCAGTGATGCCCTGTTACAAAAGATTTCTAGAACAGAAGAAAATAGCCCTGTTGCCTAGTAGAGGCTTTTTTTTTAAACATTGACATTAATTTCCTGTTGGACAAGATTGATTATTATTCTTACAACTCCATTTTACAGGCTTTGAGCTGCGCATGAAGTGTCCAGTGCTTTTAAAGGATTCTTTTCTCTGGATAATGGTTAATCTGGATTACAGAAAATGTTTCCTGTTGTTTGAGAAAAATCAATCCTGTGACACATTCAGTTGGTTCAACAGAAGTGATTGTTTGTGATCTTTTGGCACCAAAAGTCCCTTTCTTAAAGTGTTATCATTTTTATTTTGCTAAAAATACGAGACTCATTTCTACGGATTGATATACATAGGCTTTCTACTTTCTTCAGCTGTCTGGCCCACACTAGGACAGAGCAGCTTCACAGTCCCCAGGGAAAAGTTGTCCCTGCATTTTTCTGGCTGTGTGCGTGAGGATGGCAACGTGGCTTAGGCTACGTGGCGTCAGAGGAGATAGGAGATGCCTTCTGAAGTGGCAGGAAGGCCAGAGGATGAGGAGTTTATTGCTCCATCTCTCTTGAGTGGTAGAACATAAGGCAGCAGATGAGGAGGCTGACCCCACTCAGAGCTATGCTCTGTGTGAACATTGTTTAGCCAAACTGCAGCATACTTAAATTTACCCAAACTTCTACTATTAAAAGGACCTGTGTACCTTTATTCACTGTGATGATTCAGGAAGGACAGTTTGTAATGTTCTGCTACTTAGAATGAAATGTGAGATAATTTCCAACTTGTAGCAGTATATTTAAGGCATTTGCTACCCTCCCAGGAGAGTGCTGACTGAGGTTTAAGGAGTGTTTTCCTGCATATAAGGCTACATCTTGCTATGAGCTCTCTGCATTTTGGGCCAAAATTCAGGGGTCAGTAATGGCATACAGCCCTGATGATTAAACAGTAGGTACATCTACCTCTTAGAATAAATAAATTTCAATCAGAAATGTCATATATTACTGTTAAATATCATAGTTCAGAAATGCCTTTCAAGGCTACAAAATGGATTTAGCCCTAACACTGGGTAAAGGCCAGCTCTCAGTTTTATCACCTAGGGAGCAGATCAGAAATTCATGGACCAGCTCATGATGGGGAGTACCTTGCATTGCCCCCACAGTTCAGGCAATTGATCCTTCAGTGGAGATATTCAGGTGAGGATACCTGGGTGAACAGCTTGTGCAGGAGCATTTCCACAGCAGAGCCCTCCTTGGGTCATGGTGCCCCCATTGCTATTTGCAGCCTTCCCCAGGCTCTGCTGTGGCTGTATCTCATGGCTCCTTGAGCCCCTACAGTGCAGGGTTCCTTCTTGGGCTAGCCCCCAGGGATGGGGTGACAGTTGTCTGTGGATCTAACAGCATTCAAGCTCTCTTGCCTCTATTTTTATTGCTAGGTTGTTAGGTTGCAGACCAAGCTAAAGTGCAGCTGCTGCCCCGATACACACCCGGCCATGCAAGCAGAGCCCAAAGTCCAAATATTTAATCAAAGGTGGGTGAGTGATTTGTGTGAAAACTGATGCTGGAGCACAGACTGAGACTGTTGTGCAGGCACCATACCCTCAGGGAGCAAGAATACAATTTTTATCTTTTCCGTACTACATTTGCCTTTGCACTGATGCCTATTACTTCCCCCTTGCCCCCCACTAGTACTTCAGTCAAACCTTCAAACCTCAGTGACTCCCTATTGACCTACAGACTGACCTGTGATTTTACCCTAAAGGGTAAAGGAGAAGTAATTGCCCATTTGTAAAGGATTAGTAACAGTTATTTAGTTTGCAAACAGCTCTGACTTCAGGAATTGCAGTATCTCATATTAAGGAGAGGCTCTGTAGCATCTTTTGACAAAGCTGCTGTGAAAGTTTATCTTTCTTCATACTTATTCCCATGCTAGCATGGATGCCCAGTCCCTTCCAGTCCTCTTTTGGTGGAATAGCAGTCCAGACTAATTCCTGTTCCGTGCAGAATCTTCCTGTTCTTGTATGTGGAGCAGTGTGGGGACTCGTTCAGGAAAAGTGTTAATTTACCTGTTTCAGCTCCCAAAACTACTTTCAGCCATCACTCATGGGGATAATGGAAACTAAGCTGCATCTATTCTCAATCCTTTTCTTCTGTACATTAGACTGGAAAATTGTCACTCCTTTTGTGCCTGTGTGAATATTTTATTGAGTTGTGGATGACCTGAATTAAACTGGCATCAGTAGTAATCCCCTTCCTCCCTTGCTCCTGAATCTACCCAGATGGTGATGGAGTATCTGAAAGAAACAATGTGCTAATGTGCTTTATATCTTCTGATGTTACAGAACAGAAGAGTCTGTATCAGATGATGACAAAAGGAGGTAGGTGCTCTACTGGGACTGGCTTTTTTTGCAATAGGCTGCAGTGAGTTCTGCCACCAGATGTACATCCTTCCTTTCCTCCTCCTAGTTCCCACCAACACCACCAAAGCAGAGAAAAAAAAAAAAAGAAAAAAAGAAAAGGGAAGGGGAAATCTCTCACAAATCCCAGTATCAATGAGTCCTCCAACCCCATTAGTGAGTTGGGGGGGAGGGGAACTTAGTGACAAGAGTGCATTATCTCACAGCTGTAGGTGATCTGCTCAGTAGGGGCCAGTGACCTCTGCCTTCACCCCAGCTCCACCACAGAAGATGGCATTAGCACCTGTGGGAGTTCTCTGCTGGGCTGGAAATTGAAGGAAATGTGACTCTATCACCAAAGAAATCAGAAATCAACTCAGAGCCCTGAGGGCTGGAGGAGATGTGATTAATTTGGCTCGTAACAGGGCACAGCAGCGTAATGGGAGTCACTGCAAGTAGCTCCAGGCAGAGCAGAGGCTTCTAAGGACCCAGTTTTTCACTTCCTTGCATCAGTCCCTGCTTTTCATACAGGCCTTGAAGCCAGAAAAAACGGTCTGCAAGGCCATGAAGGGGAGAGGTTTGGGCTATGGAAGTACCTAACACCATTGTGCTCCTTCCTACTAACAGTTTTGCCCAGGTGTGGACCTAAGCAGGGAAATGCAGCTCTTGTTAATTAACCAGAAAAGGTCAAAGTGCTGTTTAATTGGTGTGCATTGTCTGAAGTGAGGTGCTTCAGTGGTCCCAGTGTCAAACATTATTATTGGAATGGCTCTGTCCTCAGTTGGGTAAATTCAGTGTCTAGAAGCATAGAATCATAGAAGCATTTGGTTGGAAAAGACCTTTAAGATCATCGAGTCCAACCATAACCTGTCCACCACTGAACCATGTCCCTAAGCAACTCATCTACCCGTCTCTTAAATACCTCCAGGGATGGTGACTCCATCACTTCCCTGGGCTGCCTGTTCCAATGCCTGATAACCCTTTCAGTGAATAAATTTTTCCTAATATCTAATCTAAACCTGTAAAGAAGCCAGACCAGTGGGTTTTATTGTCACAACACAGTTGGGATTTAAGGAAAAATATTAGGAACTTGAATGAAAAATAGCTCCTGTCAGAGGCTTGGGTCCCACTTAAGAGTAACAGCTAGCTTCAAGGTCTTTTTGCCTGGCATCATGTTAGCAATCATGTGGCACTTAAAAGACACTTTTCTCATAGCCATGGGAAAGGAGGGCTCCTCTAAGGATGCTTGTGCAGAGGTACCCTCCTCTCTGACCATCCATGGTCTTTGTAATGCTGCTGCATGATGGTGACATTATAGGAAGAAGTGTTACAATTAAGCTCTGATGCCTCTTTAATTGTTTCTTTAAACCAGGAACTATGGTGGTGTGTATGTTGGCTTGCCATCGGACGCGGCTGCCATGGTTTCCAGTCAGACGAAAGCTGCACCGAAAGGTATTGGAAGGTTGCATATTGCATTTCTCCTGCTTTCCCAGTTTAATTTTGTCTGGTAGGATGTATTTCCGTTAAAAATCAATCATTATTTCAGACAGACTGAGTAGCCTTGAAGCCTCTTAAAGCAGTGGGACTATTTATAATCATTTAAGTGATTGTTCCCATTTATTTAAATTTTAACACACCTTGGCAGAAGGATCCTAGAGCAGATGCTGCCAGTGTGGTACGTTGTCTTCTGAACAGCTTCTCCACGGTCTGAGTGCTCTGTGAATTCAAAGAAAACAAAACCCTGTTAGGACTAAGAGGCTGTGATAGATGCACTTGCAGAGCCTCAGTGCTATTTTTAGTTTTGAAGGTGTTTACTTGCATTGTGGTGAATTCCAGTAATAAGAGTTAGTAAGTGCTTGCTTTCAGATTTGCTTCTGTTCTTATATGAAACCTGGTGCAAACTGCTTCTTTTCCATGTGATGTTTTTGAACAGTGGGAAAAAAACATTAGGTTTATAGGTACTTAATAGACGAATCCCAAACATGTATTTAGAAAATCATGTAATAATTGTTTAGATTTACTACAACAAAGCGCTGCTGTCACATACACACACCCCAGAGTTTAGTCACTGACTGGTGCTTCCAAAAATTGCCACAAAACAAAAAGACTGAAGAAAAATAACACTATTAACCATAATAATAGTAGCAGGTTTTGGAACAGTAGTACCTTTGTTGTATGCTTTTTTTAAAATGGTGTTCTAAATTAGTGGTATTTTACAACGTCTTAACCATCTTTACCTTTTGTTTTCTAACTAAGATTAGAAGGAAATAAACACATCAAGACCGAAACAGCTGGAGGTACAGTATGTCTTAATTAATGTTATATGCTTGGCATGCATTTGTTGAATACTGAGAAGGTGGCAGTGCTCCTTGTGCTGCTCTCGGGTGGTATTGGAATCGCCCAATTACTTCATCAGCTGCAGTGTAACTCTTCTAAAGCCTGGGCCATGAACCAGCGGTTCA